TTTATAGATATAACTATATTTTTAAATTTATTGTCTTAATTTTAGATTAAAAAAATAATTTTTTTAATAATTATATTATACACTATATTAAATTAAAGTGTATATCAATTATTATCAAAATTAAAGTAAATCGTTTGCTTCAAAATTTTATTTTAAAGAAATCAGCCTTAATTAAGCAACACAATTATTTTTTTTGTTAAACTATTGGTCTTGCCTTCTCGGAGTTTGATAAAAAGTTGACGTAGGCTGTTAAATTTTGATTAATTTTTTAAATAAAAAGTTTGGATGGTTATTTAGTTAATTCTTTTTATTGAGTACTAATTTACTTTAATTTAAAAACATTAAAAGTTATCTGCTCATTTTGCCTTACCAATTTTTATAAAGAAGTGACCGAGTGTTTGTTATTTATTTATTTATGTGTAAATTGGGCGTAATGTTTACATTTCCAAAATCGTGCTTTGCCCAACTGTGGAGGCTAAGAATACCGACGCCATTGCTTCACATTCATTATTGACAGAGCTGCAAAGTATGTTGCATGAGTACATTTATAATGGAAGTAAAAGGGGAGTAAAGCAAGTCCTCAACTTATTTCCGGACCCAGGATATTATGGGGTACTATTATTTTCTGCCCTTCATGTTGCCGTTACCGCTGGCAAGGAGGACTTAGCACGCTTCTTCCTCGAACGAAATCCGGTTGCCGCATATATGGGTGCAGAGGACGTCTTCGTTCTTCTTGAACGGTGTATAACTAAGAAAATGTTCCGTAAGAGCTCTAATTATCATTTCCTTTGTTTCTCTTTATTTCATAATTGTTTTTTTGTTTTTCTCTAACAAAATTTTTTGATATCAGAAATTGTATGGGAGTTACTCAACTTCTATCCAAACTTGGCAACTGACCCACCCCCTCAGGGTCACATGCCAATCATTTTAACACTTGCTAAAGCATCACCTCCATTCTTCAGAGGAAGTAAACTTAAATCTGTGAGATTGTGGATATATCATTGTTAGTATCGCCTCTCCCTTTGTATTTACATATTTTACTTAATTTTGCCTCTAATCTATTTAATTTAATTATGATTTATTAAAAAATTATTCTTTTAAAATTAAATTAAATGTGATAATGCTTTAATGGTTAAACTAGTAATGGTTAAACTAGTAATGGTTACTGTGCATTAAATTGGAATGTATATTCATTATTTTTTCGATTATTTATTAAACTTTGATGTCTAATTACTCTCATACCCTATAAATAAAATTTTTGGGTTTTGCCTTATCTTTCTTAATTTATTTTCCGATTCGTTCTTCTGGATTGATTTAGTCTATTAACTGCATTTTTTTTTAATTATAATTGTAATTGAAGGCATGGAAGTAAATGTAGACTTGATCAGACCAAGAAATGCAGCAAATGTAGACTTGATCAGACCAAGAAATGCAGCTCATGGTGCCTCAGGAGAAGAACCCTCGTGTTATCAATCTTGTCTTCAATTCCTAAGTATATATTCTTCTACGTGTGTATTTTCAATTTTTCTTTCTTTATTATTTTATTCCCTCTGATGACTTCCGTAGAGTTAGTTGGGTCATTTTTTGTTCTTGTACCGTAGTTAGAGGTAATCCTTTTAGATAAAAGATAACAATCATAGAAAGGTTTTTGTTTCATTCTTTCTCATTCCTCATTTATAACGATCATAGAAAGGTTATTTTGGCTAGATGTCATGGTGAGGCGATGACTATTGCAGCAACGAAACTCATTCTTTCGAAATCCTAATTACATTTCATTCATTTGCAGAGGCACTACCACGCAAGCCGGTTACAACTCTTTCAAAGATCCTTGGCAAGTTGGTTACAACTCTTTTAAAGATCCTTGGCAAGTTGGTTACACCTCTTTTAAAGATCCTTGGTAAGCAGCCGCGTCTCCGCAAAATTAACTATTGATTAGAGTTTGCTTGGTTTGGTGGACGTAGTTATTACTCGATCAAATTTTATTTTATTATATTATATATAAACTAGTTTTTGTTTTATCCGTGCGTTGCATGAGTTTTTTTATTTTTTATCAATTCTTGAGTTTTATAATAATTTTTAATTAAAAAATTTTAATTAAGTAATTAAAGTTGAGTTAAAAATTGTGTTTTGTAATTAATAGGAGTATTTTTTTTAAAAGATTATATATAATCACACTAAAAAAATATATTAAAAGAATTTAAAACACTCAATATTAATTTTTATCTCATTTATCTATTTTTTTTCTTTACTATTATTTTATTTAAAGATTTGGATAATATTTTTTCTTTTCTCAATTAAAAAACTATAATATATTTAAATAAGATTAAATACCTATGCATTACATATGCATT